GATACTGTATTTTCGGCAACTCAGCTGTTACAGGACTTTTCCAGCGAAAAGCTTGTATGGCTTACCGAGCATTTTTATGTACAGAAAGCAACAAGGGTTGAAATTCGCTGAATCTCCATAGTTTTTGCAGTGGAAAGAATAGGGGGAGATATGAGATTATGAAGTATGGTGGGGTTCGTTTTGGTGTTGCTGCGTTAAGCATGGAAATCGTTTTTTTATTGTATGCTACATCATCATTATATAGAACAGCTATCTCGTAAGCTGTGTGAAGGTACACCAATAAGCCTTTTCAACCTCTTCACTGTTCTATTCCAGACAAAAGAGGAGCAGTCACAAATTACGTCCCAAGTAACTGGTCAAATAGGATGGCGTCGAGAAGGCATCAAATATCGACGAAATGAATTGTTCCTCGACGTCATTGAATACGTGAATCTCCTCATGAGCCAACAAGGTGAGCTCCCACCATTTACGGCTTCTCCGCCTGGGAAGAGACTTTTTCTCGATGAAGTTAGTGCTTGAAATCAATAGTCCTGGGCGAATGGAAGGTCGCTTATTGATTGTGTGCTGGGTTTTCGGAACAACGTAGAGGGTATAATCTGGGAGTTGAGAATAGAAGTGTAGTATGGAGTTAAGCGCTGGATTGATGATATCTTGAAAAATTATTGAAATACCTGCACGATCTGTTTTACTATTGAGTGTTCCATTCAAAATCTTATTACTAGTCAGTCAAGCTACTACTGCTAAATTCTCACACAAAAATAAAAGAATTGAGCACCAGTCATATAGTGAACATGTTCATAAACTTTGAGAATATTTTGGTCATCAAAGCGAGTGGATCCTTTTTGAAGCGTTTTCTACCTGATTGGTATGAGAAGGACTTGAAACGTTAAATGCTTTGTAGGACTAGAAGATGAGTTTAGCGAGAATAATCTGTTGGAGTCAGTGATTTCTCCTTGTTGGATGTATAACAAGTATTCTGCGATCTTTTATGACCACTCTAGCTAGAAAGAAAGAAAGAAAGAAGTTGGTTACCTCTCCCGAGCAAAATACCAACATCGATTTACGGTCCTTATGAATTCTTACTTTTTTTAAATCTTTATCTCCAGCAACTTGCCTATAGTAGGAAGTTACCATGGGAAGATATGCATTTTTTCCTAGGAAACGAAATATATGTTCTTATCAAGGGTTTGTTTGCAGACTGAGCTTCTTGATGATTTTTCAACATAAAATAGGATTTTTTAAGAATCTTTGAGTGAAGCTTTGTGCAAATTTAGAAGTCAAAGTAGCATAATGCTGGTAGATGGTGATAAATACCACCTCGGTGACCTAATCAAAAGGCGACTTTATAGATATGTGTTAAGGTTAGTGGTGGTATTGCTATAAAACTTCAGTTATATTATATTATATTGGGCTCTCCGTTTTTGCCATTTAAAATATGTGAAACAAAAACGTCTCGACTTTCCTTAAACGATTGTGTTTGTTTAGGTCAAGTGCTCTCCGCTCATGTTGCTGGTAAAGTTGCGATGAAATCATATCTAAGTGGAATGCCAGAATGTAAATTTGGCATTAACGACAAGATCACTATTGATGGGAAAGGGAAAGGCCCAAGTGATGATCCTAACAAAGCGTGAGTTTTTGATTCCATCCTGTTCCAACACAGTGAATATCGTCCGAGAAGGCATAGTTTTAAAGGGAGCTTCACTTAATTGGAAATTCAAATGCTTTGAAAAGTGATTTTGAAAATTATAAGATGTTGCAGTTTTGGTTAATTTGAGAGTTAATGTTTAACAATGCTTCTAGGCGTTCCGGTAAAATCTATCTTATAAATCAGTATGTCATGATGAAATATTATATCTTATGAGTTGACATCTTTGGTTTTTCCATTCTCAGATACTTTTATACTCATTTTAAATAAGTTGTTCTGAGCTTTTAGATGTTTTAGGGAGAAGGTGTGTCACCATTCCTTAGATTACATGGCAGACGTAGAGTGCAAGTAGTGCTAAAGAGTAAAGCTGTGTATATGCTAATTTTACTGTTCTCCTAATTATCTGTTTTTAGCGCTCGAGCCTCTGTTGCCATAGATGACTGTCAGTTCCATCAGTGCGTCAAGCTTACGAAATTTGATACGGAGCATGCTATCTCGTTTATTCCTCCGGATGGAGAGTATGAACTAATGAGGTGAGTAATTTGGGTCTTTAGGTTAGTGAAATGGAAATCCATGAATTCCTTACTTTAAAGCATTAAAAGAACTATAGCAGCATTTTCAGCTTATCTAATGAATATTGAATCCCCTTTTTTCATGAATCTCCTAGATATCTCTCATATTCGACTTTGTATATAAGGACAGGTTGGGGTGAAAAGTCGAATTTTGCTTTGTTTGTTTACTATTTGTCGTTTTCTTGAAATACATCACCATAATTTTGATGATAGGTCGTGGCTTTACTTAAATCACGAACATTAAAGGAAAAGTCGTACTTTCTGTGTTTCTGAGTGTGCACAAGTTTAGCCGGATATTTTTTTGATAGTCAAGTAGAGCAGATGGCTATAGCAAGAAACTCGTAAACCCACTTCAATTTGTTATCGAGCACCAGACTTGTACAATTGTGTGGTAGTATTCCTCCCTTCTGCTGTGCTGATCTTCTCAATCTTACATCTATATTATGCATTACCTTATTTTATGTAACGGGGCGTTAGGGTATGTGTAATTGCTCCTGTGGGTTTAAATTGATTCCTCAAATCAAGCTCTATATCATAATCTCTTTTATCTTAAAATAAAAGATCGCAGGTGCAAACCCTTTTTTTGTATGTATATGTACCAGTGGTTTTGCAGCTTATCCGCTGCTAGTATGGCAGGTGTTTCGTGACAT